TTTTTTTAAAATGCTTTTGGTTTAGCATTTACACTCTCCACAAATTCACCATTTGCAGTTTTTAGAGGTTCTCTTTTGCGTGCTGGTGATAGTGGTATTATTATTATTATTATTATTATTATTATTATTATAGATGATAATGACGATGATGATGAGGAGGAGGAGAAGGAGGAGGAGGAGTTTCAAAATGACAATGATAATGATGATCTTAATAATAGTGGTAGTGGTGGTCGATGATGATGATGATGATGATGGCTGCGATGATGATAGCGGAAATGATGACGGTCGCGATGATGATAGATTATTATGATGATGATGATGATGATGATGATGATGATGATGATGATGATGATGATGATGATTGCGATGATTATGTTATTGATAGAATTTATGATGATAATGAGGTTCTTGATGACGACAGTGATAGAGATGATGATCGTGATGATAGTAAAAATAATGATGGTGATGATTGATGATGTTTATGAAATAGTGATTAAAATATTATTTTTTTCTTTCTTTTCAGGCGCTAACGCCTACAACAGGTCTCATCTGCTGCAAACATTTTTCCAGGATTTTAGCCAACCAAAGAATGGCTAAAGAATATTAAGACAGGTGGTCGACAAGGGTCAACAGCAACCTGAAAGGTCATGCAAAAGAAGTTGCAGACCAGATTGTAAAAAGACAAACGAATAAACAAAAGAGCAGGTATTTCTCAATTCTCAAAAAAAAAAAAATATTGCAAAAGCTACAAAGCAAAAAGCAACAAGTACAATGGAATTTACCTGCGAACAGCAATCATAATAGACAACTTAATATTTATATGTCTATATACTTATGCATATAGTGTATAGGCAGAAAAGGTGGCGGGAAAATAGATTTGGCTGGGTTGCTGCTTAAGAAAGAAAATAAGCCTTTGTCTACACACACACACACAAACACACACACCTACGCAGTCGCCTATCTCCCTATCTTAGCAGCCTCTCTGTTTAACTCAGCTGATATCCGTGTTTGTATTAGAAAAAAATAATTTAATTATTGGTATGCCTATTGTAGCTCTACAGAGAAATGTGTCGAGAAGGGAGCAAAAGACAGTTCGTATTCGGTGGTAATTTTTTCCTCCTTTAAAGGAGTCCTTAAATGTTATCTAAGTCGATTCTTACTGATCTGTTATCAGCCCTCCTAACAACTCTTTTAACGATCCTATAGCTAACATCACTACTAGTTTGATTTCTGTTCCACTTCTTTGTTTGACTGTATTTTTGTTTTGTTTTGTTTTTTTTACTTTATTTTCCCCGAGTCAAGTCAAGCAATCCTTTCTTAAAATAAATAAAAAGAGACCGGAAATCCCAACAAAGAACACAATTACAATGATAACTATGACGACATCGAAAGCAGCCTCTATTACTTCGTCTCCGTCTACCACTGCTTTAACAAAAAAACAATAACGCTAATTCAACCATTAAAAAAAAAGCTATTGCTTATTATAACGTTATTAAAACGTTGATGATGTTGATAAAAACACGTCCCATAGACGCCTTAGTAGTAGATGTAGCAGGCCACCAAATTAAAGATTTCTCTACCTGAACCTTTCCATCTATTTCTCTGTTAATCACTCAGTTTTCACTGCCTGTCCGTTGTCTTTTTAAAGAACAGCCGTCCTTATTAAATCCTAGCAATGGACAACACGCGCCTGCTGATTCGAAATCGAGGCACTCCTGACAACTGTAACTACAACAACTCTAACTAGGTTAGGTGTCCTAGTTGAGTGGATCCAATCGTCCGTTTTATAATCAGGAGTTCGATCTCTGGCTCGAGCACTCAGTTTTAATAACTGTCTGTTTTATATTAGGCATGTATTTTCGAATTCCTTAGTCGATGGATTTCAACTTCGGAGACAAAATATAATTTCTTATCACAACTACTTATATACTGTCACACATTGTTTTTTGAGAAATAATACGTCGTTATAATTATTTTATAAATCAGGAAAATAAAATTATTTACAAGTTTCCATTATCTTTATAAGTGATCGAATTCACAATAAGCTTAGATTATATATCTCCAGTCCAGTTTAAAGGGAACTTTTGATTAATAGATTTATACACTTTACAATTGCTATCTCCCTCACCTTAACGTTACCTAACTACAAAAAACTCCCATCCATACTGAAATATAACAAAACAAGCTAGAGGTGTAAAGGACCTGCACCCGAGTGTTATCAGTCAGAGTGCCTTCAGCGAAGGGAGTGACAAGCACAAACTTCCTTAGAGTTCAGCCGCCTATGACCTGAAAACCAAAAAGGGAAAACTGTACACTTATTTGACCCCGATGGCTTCAGCAGTGAGCAGGTGGTTATAAGGTCTGACAAAATTTAGTATAAAGATTTCAATAACACGTCAGTTATAACCTTTAAAAGAAGTCTATATATTATTATACATACAGTCTTGTACTATTAAATTATATAAACATATAAATATATCCCAACAAAAAAAAAAGGAAAGGGATTTGCATGTGGTTTTCGCGGATATTCATGATTTTCGGAGACAAAGGCTAAGGATTCTGCTTGTTGTGTGGCGTTAGTTAAAATACGTTTTCAGTGACACTAGACGAATTTTGAATATTAAAGACAGAATTTTTTTTTTTTAATTTTTTAGTTGAGTTAAAAAAAAAAAACATGCAAAGTTTATGTGGTGATAACAGCTAACAAAGTAAATTTTTTATTTCGTTGTTTTTTCTTTACTTTTTTCATTAATATAATCGAAAACGCATGTAACAATATGATAATAAACTACACGGCAACACCAACAGCCAAATCATTTTCCCCCACCCAACCTGTTCGTACCTGAACAGGCCAATAATGGATTACTTTCATAAACGACAGGTAGCAAAGATTGTTACTGCTACTACTACTACAATCCTGTGTGGGATAAAGCAGTTAGATCGAGCGTGGGGAGTTCCTGTCGTCACTACTCTGGTTGCTACTACTACTACGACTGCTTTTTACAGGTAGACGCTGGTCATACCTTCTATGCCTTGAACTGCATCTTATCGCCGCATGAGGTTAGTACACACAACGCCTAGCGGTCAGTCTTGTGCCATCTGAGTCCGCAGTGCCTGCCAGTGGTATAAGCAACCACTAGCAACACCTAATTTCGTATCACTGGAGGAAAAAAAAAGCGGCGTGTCTATGATGGAAAACACAACAGACTAAAAAAAAAAAAAAAAAAAAAAGACTAAAAGTGTTGGCTTACCTTGCCTTGAGTACCTACGGTCTTGCTCGTCATTGTCGTTTATTTTGCAACTATTTATTCGAAATACAGTAAAAAAAAAAAAAAAAATGAAAAATCGTTTGTCGATATTCGCAGTAATTTAATAAGAAAAAATATGTCTGTATTTTATATGTACTTTGACCTTTTCGTCGTCAGCATGGAACGCATGTAAACGCACTTTATTCGGCTCCTTTCGATAATAACGTCAACTCATCGCCGTTGTATCCCTCCTTCGGGTTTTTCGCCTGACTAACGTACCCCATCTGTTTCTCACGCTTGGGGACTGAGAACAAGAAGTGTCTAAATCGAGAGTGTGGATGTCTGAATGATTTTAAGCATGTGATAGTGTGTTTTTATACGTGTAAGTGAGGGCATACAGACACGCACATACATTTATTATTTAAACTACGCACGCAGGTGTTGGGCTTACCTTTAAACGTGAAAAGGTACAGAAAAAATTGAGGGTTCTGTGTGTCTACCATTTTTATTATTTGGCGACCTCTCCACACAAAAGAAAAAATTAATTAATTAAAAACAGTTCGTTGGTTTAGACTTGAGCTTGGATGAGTCTACCGCAAAGGCAATAAGCGTTTTAAAAAAAATTTTTACAATTATTCACGGAATTTAAAAAAAAAAAATTATAAGGAAAACTTTTTAAAAAAAAGTTATCCCTGCACTGGACACAATACCTATTATTTTTTCATACAGTATCCATCAATTACACACAAAAAAAAAAAAAAAAACAACAAGGAATTATACACGCATATAGAAACGCTCACTTATATATATTTTTATGTATATATTTTATAAATATATTACATACGTATGTTCGCTATCTCTTACCTATGTACATAAAAATAAAAAGTTGACTGCGCGTAAAGTTTGACCGGTAAAGAAACGACGAATTAATTAAAAATAATTATAGAGCTTGAATTTTAAAAAGAAATTTTCTCTCAGACTTTTATTTGCTGTATAGTAACATAAAAAACGCACACATAACAAACATAACTCAGTGAATTAGTGACCGTCACGCTTGAGGTCCATTCACAAGAGCCTGGGTGGTCAGAGGAAAAAAAAATATATATATTTTCAAGACAGGAGATACATACACAAGGGAAGTAGTTTTGTTTTAATTTTTCACTCTTCTCGACTCTAACGATCAATCAAAAGCTTCTGGGGCCGGCGTCCTGAACACAGAATATACGGCAGACATCAGAAACCTCGTAGGAAGATTATGTTCTAAGGAAATCCCGGCACACAGATATATAGATGTTTCAGATTTGTGTTGCTAAACTTGAACCCCGCCCCACCAACGCCAGGTGAGTCCTCCACATCACAGGTGCGGGGAAAAACATAATGAGGTTCAGTTTGAAGAAAACATTCACGTGGATATTCTTCACGTGTGTTCTCTTCCTTGTGGGATTTAATCTCTACAACCACAAGTTGTGGGAGCATACGTACAATCATTCGAGTGGAGGAGGGAATGATGCCGGTTACAGTAGCAATAACCCGAGGCATCACCCTTGGGGGATAGTGAAAAATATCATCTCGCGTCGCGAACTCGGCAAAGATTCCGGTCCCTCTCTCACATCTATGGCACCATTGCCGGCTGAGTCAAAGACAAAACAGAAAGCAACAAAACAAAAACTAGAACAAAAAAAGCAACAAAAGCAAAAAGAACCAAATAAACAAAAACAGAATTTAAAAAAATCCACATCGGAAATAATCGCTATGCGAAAAGCTATTAATGGCACCCGCCTCAAACAGAAATTGTCAGTAACGCTAGGTCGTAACGAGAAACCCCTAGCCACTGGAACGCTGAAGATTTGGCCGGAGGACGATCCAGAAGATGACCGGATTGTGGCACAGTTGAAATACATCCCACCAAACTATCCTCTGTCAAGTAAGGTAGGGGTCAAGCCGCCCAACGATAACATTCCGGTCGCGGGAGATGCTGTGAAAAAAATGAACTCTGACAATGGTCAGATTATCAAAGCTAATCGGACATCGCCAGCTCAGAAACCGAAGACCATTGTCCTATACAACGGTTTCGGCGTGGCACAAGTCAAACGCGGCCGGGAGATCTTCGTGGAAAATAAGTGTCAAGTTAGCAATTGTTTTTTAACGGACGATCGGGCTCGCATGGTGGACGCGGATGCTGCACTTTTTCATCACGCTGCGATCACTGCTAGCGGGCCCCGGCCTAAAAACCAAATCTGGATTTTGTACATGCTGGAGTGCCCCTACCATACGCCGGGCCTGAGCTCGGTCAAGAACGTATTCAACTGGACGGCTACCTACCGTCGGGACAGTACTATTGTGGCGCCGTATGAAAAATTTCGTTTCTTCAATGCGTCGCAACCACAAAAGAAACAGACGAAGAACTACGCCAAACAAAAAACCAAAAAGGTGGCGTGGTTTGTATCAAACTGTGGGGCACAAAATCGTCGGCGGGAATACGCCGATGAGCTTTCTAATCACATTCCGGTAGATATATATGGAGCGTGCGGGCCTTTGAAGTGCCCGAGGCATGTTTCAGACAGGTGTTTTGAAATGCTTAACAAGGACTATAAATTCTACTTGGCCTTTGAGAATTCCAATTGCCGAGATTATATTACGGAGAAATTCTTTGTGAACGGATTACAGTAAGTATAACACTTGCTATTTAATTGTTTTCTGTCTACAGGTTGAGTGAATTATTATTATTATTATCATTATTATTATTATATGTTTTACACAATGAAGCTGTCGTTTTAAAAGATGTACTATTTTTAACCAATATCAACAGATTGTATAGATACAGATACTAATATATATATATATATATATATATATATATATATATATAAATTCTACTCTGTAGTTCGCAGCCTCACCAACTTCCCTACGTCTGACCAAATACATTTTGTGGGTAAGGGCTTCTTCATTAGGTCGGGAATATTTTATTTCAGCACCACCTTCTATGTACCTAATGTATTTATACATACATGCATATATATATATATATATATATATATATATATATATATATATATGTGTGTGTGTGTACTAGTAAATCTGCTGAGGATTGCATGAAATTCTAAGTATAAATTTAAATATATATATATATATTGAATGCAATCTTCAGGCCATAGAAATAAAGCAAAAAATTTGTTTACACGCTCTATATTTGATTTTGAGCACTTTTACTCATAAATATACCTTAAAACTATATTTTATCACGTAAATACATACATACATATATATATAGAGAGAGAGAGAAGAAAAATATCTCTCTCTTGATCCATTTATCGTTTTTTTTTTGTTTTTTTTTTTTACTTTATTTTTAAGGGCATCTGACTTGGGTATTAATTTGCAGCACCTATTATATATATATATATATGTGTGTGTGTGCATGTGTTTGTTTACATATTTACGAGTTTATCTGTGCAGACTATATTTAAGTTTCTGATATTTTATTTTCGCAAAATTTCTGTAAATTTATCTGGTCCCAAATGGAAAACACTGCGACATAATTTACGGCTTTTATTTATCAAGTTTACCAGAAAATTTTTATTTCATTAACGTCACTCGAAGACGATCATATAGAGAATACCTACTACCCGAAATTCACCCTTCTCTCCTCTCCGATGATGCAGAATATTTTTTTCATGTATACATAACTAATATATATATATATATATAATATAAATTTTTGTCTGACTATTAATTAAAACAGGTATATTCTATCAGAGAATGCACACGCTGAAATTTACAAACAATCTATGAAATATATATTAGTTATTCTTTGCACTCAGTACCTTTTATAAGATCACTGCATAAGTGCCAAATGGAAATACTTCGACAAAAAAAAACAATATTAAATAGATGTTAGTGTAAGTAATATTATATTCCATTGACGAATTTCTGGAAATGCTCAATAACAACATGACAGAAAAGCATATTCACGTATACAAATGAAAAGAGAGCAGATCTGATAAGGATGTAAATCAGTTTTTAAATAGTAGGTAATACTTTTGTTTATCTAATTTCATTACCAGCTATTGTTTAAGAAAAAAATTCAGTAAACATTTTCTCCCTCCCTCTCTTTCTCTCTCTCTCTCTCTCTCTCTCTCTATATATATATATATATATATATATATATATATAATGTGTGTGTATTATAAACATATATATAAAGCTATGCTATATTTATAGGTAAAAGTGCTAAATATCAGGGATAGAACGTGTGTCAATATAAAACTAGACACTGAGGTCAACACCGAGTGGCGACTGTCTGTTTCATACTTGAACGCTATCTTCAGGCCATAATGGTTAGCAAGCTTGTTTTGCTGCTAGATCAGTTATAACTGAGTAATGAGTTTGATCTGTGCTATGCTATATATATATATATATATATATATATATATATAAGCCACTACTGAAAAGTTCTCCCAAAATCAATTCTGACATTTGGTCAAACTTCTTGGGAAATTAGTCAGGCCTATAACTTTTCAGCAGCCCCTTTTATATGAAAGGTGGATCAATAAGTTCATAACCCTAGGCTGTTATTAGCTGAATTTTGAGCTGATTAATTATTAACTGAATTTACACTGTATCATGTTGCATTCAAGGGAGAAACGTTTGCTTAAGATATAATCGACAAGACAGGATATTGTTGAACTATAAATATTTTCTTTATGATAAGACTCCAGATTTATTGAGTATTCGTACATGCATGCATGGTTACTGCGACAGTGTTTGATTCCTATGTCTACAGTGTCTATATCGAGAAACGCTACAACTTCGTTACTGAGTACCCTTCCCCTTGATAAACATAGCAGACTTTTCAACAATAAACACACATACATGGCAACTATCCTCTTGTTTACTAAGATAAGCATCTCTGCCTTATGAATACGCATCTGTTGCCGCTGATCTTTCATGGGCTCTGCAATGACGCGTCACCCATAAACGGCGGGAAAAAAAAGGTTCTATTGATACGCCCGCGAAATGGGTAAAGAACGAGGTAAAAAAAAAAAAGAAGGTAATTTCATGCTTACTTTCTTTTTTTTAGGAGAAAGAAGTATAACAAAGTGGAAAAAGTTTTTATGTGACACGTTTCGTCTTTCAGGACTTCGTCAGACTGAATTCATGTTCACATTCTTGCAACTACCCATGCGCACAAAGGAAAGGTGGTCGCTGAGCATTTTAAATTTAAATATTTTTTATTTATTAATATACTAGCAGTAGAGCCCGGCGTTGCCCGGGGATGTAACAGTAAGAGATAGATCAAGTATCGACCATCATAAAGACTGAAAAATAAAATTGACAAAGATTATTGTTTAAGGTTGACGGACACGCATGTCTTAATTAGATTTTTTTTTATTACGAATTGGTCAAACCCAAACTCAAACAAAAACATTGTTTTCAATCGTTATGAGTCTACCGATTGAATAGATTTTTATTATAAACAATTGTCTTGTAAATAGAATTTTTAAAGCATTCTGAATGTAAAAATAAAGAAAAAAGTGTGCAAGACAATAAGAAACACTACCTGCCAAAAAAAAGTGAAATTTTTTCTGAAATCGGTTGAAAAATGTTGGAAATCCGATCCCATATATAAACGAACACACAAACACACACACAAACAACATGGGTTTTATAATAAGTATAACTCGATATGAGTTGTCCCCCTTTCGTTCTCGTGATGCCTCTTAATCGTGTTTTCAAATTGATTTTGTGCAAAAACAATTGTGTTTTTCCAATTTTGGGCGCTATTAGAACCACCGCAAGGTAATTTTACGTAGTCCTGTGAAGTTTTGATTAAATCGGTTGAAAAATGTAAGAAATCCGATCCAATATATAAACGTACAGACACACACACACACACACAACCTGGGTTTTATAATAAGTATGATGTTTTTTTTGGTATATAATCTAGCCGATTTCATTTAGATTAATTTTCTTTTCGTTTATATTTCCATTACTTTTTTATTAAATATACCACGTGTTTTCTGGGGGGGGGTTTCTTTTTGGTTTTTGTTTTTTAATCATTTCACTCCAAGCAAAAAATTACAAAACGGAAAACATTATGAAGGAGCAAGATCAATATAAGATATACAGAAGACAATGTATATTAAAAAAAAAACTATTTACTTAAAGAATAAATTAAAATAAGCAACAGTCCCAAATTTTTATAATTTAAATACATTTAAAACGGGATACGAAGAGATTTAAAAACTAAGTAAAGTTAATAGGATCTGAATTATTTAGTCTATCTCTACTAAGGTTAAAAGTTAACAGATTTAAGTTCAATAAGTAACCGTATCGGTATCTATACGAGAAAAGTTTCATATAAATTAACATATAGTACCCAGATTGTTCAAATGCATATACATTTATATCCACAATCTGGATGTTAGATTAGGTCAACAAGGCTCCTAATGTCAGTTAATACACATGTGACGGCACACTATTTCGTTCCCCACTTCCCACGCGATGATAACATCTTTGTTTCCTCCAAACTCTAAGCATTCTTAATTGTTAAACCTAGAGTAAATGTGTCCATTTTCATTCAATTTACAGGTCTGAAGATTTGAAGCCGTTTTTTTTTTTTTTTTTGAAAAAGAATATCAGTTATGGTGTTTTAAGTGTTTGTTTATCATTAAGTATGTATGTATGTATGTAATGTATGTATGTATGTATGTATGTATGTATGTATGTATATATATATATATATATATTAGTTTTAAGGCATGCTATATTTATCTTTAAAAGTTATCAATATCAGGGATAGAACGTATGTAAATATAAAAGTGGACACTAAGGTCAACACAGAGTGGCGGCAGTCTGTTTTCTACTTAAACGCAATCTTCATCGTCTGAACATTGTTTTCAAGCATGAAAGAGACTACTGACACTCGGTCTTGACCTCAATGTTCACTTATATATATATATATATATATATATATATATATGTTTGTGTGTGGCAGAAATACCCCTCACAAACACCTTCCAGAAATAACAAACACATAATGTTAGGATATTAGCTAGATGAAGACACCATTGTCACTAATTTCTTAACCTTATGTGAAGGTTATTTCTGGGAACTATATGTGGGAGGTACTTATGACGCATTATATATATATATATATATATATATGAGAGAGAGAGGGTGACAATATATATATTACTACCCATTTCTCAATTGTAGCTCAGAATTAATTCATTTCTATTCATCTGTTTATGAGTTAATATAGTATAGCCTCTTCTTTACTTTGAACACTGGCGCTGCACAGTCTTCCTACTATTTAGCCTCGAAATAATGAGAGAACCACGAACGGGTAAAAATTAAAAAATCTGTATTAACAAAAGAACAAAGATGAAAAAATCAGTGCCACGTGTGGTGAATTGCCCGATCCCAGATAAAAACTATGATAAAAGCTTGAGGCACCCAGTTTATGAATTGATACTTCTTCAGTTGGAGAATTGACGCAACACAATCTT